ATCTTTAATAACGGTTTCTATAAGTAGTATTGGGCGTCCCTCCACTACTCTCGACGTGCACAAAAGACAAAAATCATGGCGGCATCTTTCCATGTTTTACCTTAAGAATCACTCTCGTCTTGCACATTTCGAAAGCAGTGCAGTGAGGCCCACTACTCTAGACTCTCGAAGATTTTCGAGAGTGAGTCTAGAGCTGTCAGACTCTAGAAACGACTGAAAAAGAGAACATGGCTCCACTTAGGGCCCGGCCGCACGGTGCAAGAAACGGAAAAAAAAACGACTTCGTTTCGTGAAGTCGTAGCCGCATAGCACCCACACGAACTGTGTCAGAAAAAACTCGTGAATCCTGTCAGCCTCGAAGTTCGCGAGGCCTCACGAGCGTGCCGACTCCCTGCCTGCAGCCCTCGCGAACTCGTAGGTCCTCCGCTGGTAGGCTGGAGGAGCTGCGAAATCTCACGATGCCTCCAACCAAAGTCCATCCAAGAACTTGGACCGTAGCGTCCACAAATTTGGACCGTAGCGAAACGGAACCCGCACTACTGTCGCCAGGGCGTTGTCGTTAGAGTTTTCATGTGTGGTGTGGGGCAGTGAGGCAAAAAACGAAGCGAAATGGTGCATCATGGCTTCGTGAGGCCTCGCGACTCTGGTGATTGTTTCGTTTCGTTAGTTGTGACGTGCGGCGAGGCCCTTACTCTAGAAGGTCGAGCTCAAGAAGGCGTCTCGGATGTCGGACCGCTCCTTGAGAGAGCTACACGACACGGCCAGCAGGTTGTTGTCCGCCCAGACTCCAGGTGCACTCCAAAAAAATGCTCAACTTTCGAAGGCCCTCGATGCCTCCCTTGAAATTCCGGCCGCTGCAGGCGGGAGCTCTCGAATCGTCAAGAGTGCCACGGGAGAGGAGGTTCTGACAACTCAAGAAATGCATTTTCGTGAGTGTGTTTCATGAGGTAGTGGAGCGACGACGGATTCTGGCCATTTTCGTGAGTAGACTGACAGCTCAAGAACCCGAATTCCAGATCTGGCGTCTAGAGTAAGTGGAGCGGTGCCGCGCTCAAGAAATGGCCGGTTTCTAGAGCAGTGGAGCGACACCCTATATAGGCTATATCTCTTACGAACTCTCTTTTTTTTTGGGGGGGGGGGGTAACTACGGCACAGTGAGGCTTTTAGATCTAAATCCACTTCAGGCATCCCTCGAATACAACGCATCCCCACCCAACCCTGAAGCTGGGTTGGATACACTCCCGATTTTCCTCTCTTTCGAACAAAAAATTCGTAAAACCATGACTGAAAGCATACTCACACTACCACTATCCAAAATGCAAGTCGTGCCATTTGCGACTGGGCTCGTATGCATCTGGATGCATTTCCGGGCAGAAATAAGGAAAAAAAAGGGCTAGTGTGAGTCTGCAGTAGTTGACAGAGTGGACAAACTGACTTCAAAGAAAAACCCAAGGGGCAACGGCTCGTGTGTCACAACCCAGGTCTTGAATAGGCGAAAAAAGCAATTGGCAGCAGGTCCGTCCCCATCGCAGTCCAAAAAGGCAAAACAGACCTTGGGAGGGGTTTCTGGCATAGGGCCTGATCAAAATAGGCACTTTTGCCATTTTCTACACTTTTTTTTTTTTTTTTTTKCTTTTTTGAAGTTTTTTCTTCTTCCTCAACATCTCGGCCATGGCCCAGCCCAGCCGTGGCCTAAACATCTCGGCCATGGCCGAGATAGGCCATGGCCTAGACATCTCGGCCATAGCCTAGAGATCTCATTCGTGTTCTAGCTCGGGAGCCTAGACATCTCCGCCGTGGCCCAGCCCAGCCATAGCCTAGACATCTTGGCCATGGCACAGCACGGCTGTAGCCCAGACATCTCGGCCGTGGCCGGGACATCCCCGCCATGGCCAGACATCTCGGTCGTGTCCCAGCCCGGCTGTAGCCTAGACATCTCGGCCGAGGCCTGAAAATAACAGATCGTGCGGCCGAAAACGGCCACGCCGAAATCAGCATGGCCCCTGCGCAAGGATGACAGGCATAAATAGAGAAAGGGTCCAATTCAGCAACGGCCCATAGTAGCTATGCTTGCAGGGGACCCTTGTATAGGCTTAGGAGTAGAAGTAGCCTAGTAGGTAGATAGTGAAGCATTCAAAAAAAAAAAAAAAAAAAAAAAAAAAAAAAAAAGGGNAGGCCTGAAAATAACAGATCGTGCGGCCGAAAACGGCCACGCCGAAATCAGCATGGCCCCTGCGCAAGGATGACAGGCATAAATAGAGAAAGGGTAGGGCTGAGCAACGGCCAATAGTAGTTACGCTTGCAGGGGTCCCTTGTATGGGCTTAGGAGTAAAAGTAGTCTAGTAGGTAGATAGTGAAGAATTCAAAAAAAAAAAAAAAAAAAAAAAAAAAAAGGAAAAGGGGCAAACAAAGAAGGGAGAGAGAAGACTAAACTGCGATTTCGTCAAAATGTTCGTTTTTTATTTTTGTGCGCGAAATTGAAAGTCCATTTTTTTCTGATTTGTGTATGTATTTTATGCAGTGTTTTATGGGTATAGGGGGTAAGCGGTAAGGGGTAAGGGGTAAGGGGTAATATGGGTAAGGGGTAAGGGGTAAGGGGCAAGGGGTAAGGGGTACGAGGTCATATGAAGTAACACATAAATGGTATTCAATCGGGCATGTCGCGTTGTTGCTTTGTTAAATACATTCGGACATTTTCATGCGTGTCTATCCAGTAGAGCCAATGATCTCTTTACATTTGCAAAAAAATAAACAAATGTTTTGCTTTCATAATGTCGTCTATCAAATGTCATTTGTTGCACAAGTAACTCCTATTTCGGTGTGACAAGTACATCTAAAGCAATTTGTTCCCTTATATTGTGGATGTCGTCAAAAGAGAAGTTGAATGGCGGGAGAAATCCTCTTGCCAACAGTGACGCATATGTTAACATAAAGACACCGCATTCGTTAATGCCGCGCTGTCTTCGAATGCCTGGCACATTCCATATGTGGTTGAAATTTTTTGTATTCACCACCTTTCCCTGTTCAACCGATCTTTCGAACAAGAATCTTGCGAAACCACCTGTTATTTTCCTTGCCAATTCTTTGTCAGGCGTAAGCGAGTCGTAGTACTCCATTTTTTGGCGCCTTAGGTCAGCTATTACTAGTGTCCAATGGTTGGAATTCCGGACATGGAATGGAGCTATTGTTAAGTCCATGTCACCCACATCGATATCTGTCATCCACTTCTGCACTGCGCTGTATTGGTATTGCATGTCGTCGTCGAACAATTTCGCGAAGAAGAAGGAACTAAAAATTATTGTTATCGAGATGCGCCCTTTTCCTTCTACTACTGTTCCGTCTTAGCCACTATCACACTCGCGATAGCTTATGCGACACATGTTGTCAAGCCTTACGAGGTTCAAATAAAAGTTAACTATTTCGTTGTTTAACCAATTGCCTTGATACAGTATCAAGCTCAAATCATGACCGGTTAGTGTTAGTTCTTCTTTTGTTGGCCTGTTGTACGTGGATGTCCAGACCGTCCGATTCTCCGCTTGCACTGAATCTCGTAAATGTTGCACCGCAACCGTCTCTTTCTCCGATAACTTAGCCGTTGCTAAGTGGATCGTCCATCCCTGTTTGCATCTTCGTACTTCTTCTATGTTCCTCCTTTCTGCACATGACAATGCATTATGCCGCAGCGTAAGCTATCGTGATCGGGGCCTGCCATATTTGCATGCTCGAAACGGCGGAGAAAATTTCAATTGTTAAATCCTGGCAACAGGATACTATAGCGAGTTGACATAAACACCCCGACCTCCATCTTCCTCGTAATATGGTGCATAACACAACTACAATTCTTGCCCAATTTTCGTGTACTTTTTGAACGTAAATTGATCAATGATACTTTTCGCGATCTATGGTGGTTAACGGTAACCCTGCTTCCATCAGTTCTCTGATGTTCATGTTCAGTACTCTGGACAGTATTTAGAATGTAAGTTCACTATTCCAGCCTTGCTGTTTCACATATTTTCGTGTTTTTTTTTTTTCATTTTCTTAGTATGGTTTCCTGTTTTTTGGTTCGTGGGGATTTAGCTTAAGACGACCATTTGCAGCGCCCTAGAAGATGGCATAACAAGTTCTCTGAAATAAGAGGTGTCCTTGACACATGACAGGCAAAGTGCCCCATATAGTGTGTTTTCATATGCCTTTATTATAAAACCGTACCAAGCATGCACATACAATTTAATCCACACACAGAACCTAACGCTGGTGACGAGTCGACCTTTGCCTACTCACACAGATGCACACACACTCACACAAACACACACACACACACACACACACACACACACAAACACACATACACACACATACACACATACGTATCGAGATGGGGCACCCTCTATTATCGGCACTACAGTTTCGAGAATTGCAGTGTCACAATACCACTTTCATTAAAACAACAATATAACCCAAAACGCGTTTACACCCATTCCTGTCTAACATAGTTTTTTAACATAGTACCCAGCGGCAACCTATCAATTTAACAAGAAATGCGTAGACACCCTATGTGAGGACCGGTGAATATCGCATCATGATTTGTGGCGACACATCAATATGACCTGAAACGTGTAAACACTCATGCCCGTCTAAGACTTTCCTACGCATGAAACACAATTTTCTTAATCACTGCTCTCGTTGACCGTCTCGATCGTTGCGCGTCCTCTTCGTCGTCACCTTCCACTCGTGGTGCAACGTGGTTATCTTTCTGGTCGTTATCTTGGATCATATCCTCACCCGTACTCTCCGATCTCATATCTATTACGAAAATGTGTTCGCGAGATCCCTCACCTTTCTTCGTCTACTCTGTTGTTGCCGCCACCTGCTTTGGCGCCACCTTCATGGTCTGGCTTTCAACATCCTGGCCCGCATCGGTCTCCATTATTTCAGATACGCCTTGCCTCGCCGCCACTGTCGCGACAAGAGACCCGAAAGATCCAACTATTGTTGCCCCATCGTTGACCATGCGCGTTGGCGGCTATGTCAATGTGCCCGACTCCATGTTGTCGCCGTCCTTGCATATCATAGTGGAATCCCCCATTGCGCTTCTCTTTGTGCTTTGTTGAATACATGCTCGCAACTGTTCATTCTGTATGTGACCTGCGTTCGCACGTGTGTCCGTTTTGTAGCCTGCATCCCCTCTGGCCATCTTAACGATGCAATGACGTCTTGAGTCTTTAGAGAGGTGATGCTATCGATTTCTTGCACTGCTGACGCTTGTTTGATTTTCCAATCGATGGAGCCGTACGACACACTTGATGCAAGGTCGTAGAACTTTGTGCTGAATTCTAGTTGTTTGTTGGCATGCAGTTGCTCAAACAAAGCTTTCGCCTTTGCCGCTACAGTCACCTCTGTTGCACCGACATTTTCTTGTGCAACCCGCCAAAAAAGTTGCGTCTCCGTCACACTGTGCCATATCGCAGCGTCCTTTYTTTCCTTCGCGACCCACCCGCGGTCTCTTGTCTTCACAGCCATTTGCCACTTGCCCGCAAACACGCACGGTTCGAACACGCCCTCATGCCAGAGAATATGATGACCCAGTCCTCCTTCGATGACTCCTTGTACTTGTCTTGCAGCAAGTATGGCACTGAAGGGTCTTGAGCAAAGCCTTGAGGTAACGGTTTTTCCTGGCACGAGCTTCGGCATGACTGCTGTCATATCCATGTCTTCATCTTCATCTGTGTCCATCGACGTGAGCGTTCGCTGCTCGGCCTGCGGTGCATGTGTCGATGATGGTCCAGCTGTCGGCGGGGKCATTTCACACCCATTCTCTCCTCCCCCTGTGTTGCCCCGTGAGTTAACAATTCCCTCACTCGCACCCACCGGGTTTGTTGGTACACCATTCTTTTCTCCCCTTGCATTCATTCTATGTTCCACGTCTCCCTCACAAACATGTGTCGCTCCCAAACTCGACCTCGCCTTCTCCGCTTCTGCGTTGGTGCTCCCTTGCGGCTCCTCGACACGTGCTCCCTGCGCCGAACGTCGTGTCGCGCGCGACGGAACGTCCAGCTTGGAGTCTGACGTGTCTTCGTCACAATCGATGATGTTGAATTTCCCCGCTTTACGTGCCAAGTCCGCATAGTCCCTGCATGACAGTGCTCTTTTCTTCATATTGAAATACAGATGCTCACAACGTGCGACGAACATGTGGTAAGCACCCATGTGCGATCCGTGGTACTTGTTCATTGCTATCTCGAGTTCACTTTTCCTGATGACGTATTCGTTATCAACCGCCGACCGTGGAGCGTCACCGAACAAGTAAGCCCACACTTTCTCCCTCTTCTTGCCGAGCTTATAGTAAATGTCCCGGTCCTTGCGGTGCTCGACTCGGGGCTTTTCGAACCTGCATTTGTTCCTCGGATCCTTCACATAAAACTCTAAAAACTTGGAAAGGTATGTGAGCTCTTTTCTCGTGTCGTCACACGCAAACACATGGTGTTCGGCGCGAGCGAGTTCCCAAATCCATCCCGCATGCGCCCTGCCCAACAGCATCACGCCATCGTCCTCCCTAATGAACGAGCTGGACAGTTTTCGGAGACGTGCTGACTCTCGTTCTATCCAAGAATAAACCTTGTCGGTGTCGCCCTCCACGCCGATACACTCCCTTGAGCACCTCACAAATTCACCCTCTTCAACATTCAAATTTATCAACTCGGCTCGCAATTTCAGCGGAACCGTTATATAGTCCAAATTGGCGTTCTCGGCGTGGAGGACAATAACCATCATGTCAGTGTACCGAACTGCAATGTTGCCGTACTTGTTCAAGGTTGTCGAAGGTGTATAGTGTATGTACCATGATCCTGTAAGCACCTCAACATCATCCCTGTTGTACACACTCTGCATCACCTGTTTCTGGTGTTTCATCGTCGCGAAAATGATCAAGGCCCAGTTTTTGCCAGAGCATGTCATGAGGAAAGCGTACAGTTTAAAAAAGGCGTCATCATCCCACGGAACACATTTCGGTGATGTTGACATATCAAGAATGGTTGGCCGTATCTTCATCCCCCTCGCCGTACCAACAACCTCCTCGTTGTCGGTGAGCACTCCCTTCGGTTCTATTTCAAATGGCAGGATCATGGTAATCCTCTTCCCCACTTCCCAAAATATGTGACAAGCACTGGAAGATATCCGATTAACCTCCGCTCTCAGGTCGTCCAAGCAGTCGATTGCCTCGTAGATGAAACACTTGAGGTGGAACGGGGTTTCCTTGTACATGCATTGGGTTGCCTCCAGTCCCGCACCGTTCTCACCATTAATCTCATCAGGACCGCCCAAACGCCTCGGCACCTTCCTCGCCTTGTCGTCAGGGATGCGGTCGCGTTCATTGGTCCATTTCTCGTCCGTCAGACCGTTTTTGCTGTACCTCTCCAAGACGGTCGTATAACCGATGAAAAACTCAGCGCTCCACTCTTCTTTTGACCTCCCCTCGACCTTGAACAATATGTAGTTGAACATACGGACCATATATCTTTCACGCCGAGTATATTTAACCAGGTCCGCCATGTTGCATCTACCACGAGGTACCGAACGTGATGTCACGATGACATCACCACGCATCATGTGGTGAAGCGCCACTTGCTTCTCTCTCGCTGTCATATCGCCGAACAACTTGAAGATTGTCGACGTCAAGTCCGGTATAGACACTGTTGCGCCTGGTGGCCCCTTCCTGGCTTTGATGCAGTGGAACATGACTTTTTTGCCGGAGTTGTCCTTGAGGAAGTATTGCCGAGGCAGCCTCTCTTCCACTTTCCCCGGCAGGTCGATGTATCTCACACCGTCGACTCGCGGCAATAGCCCGTTCTCGTACATGTCGAAGAATTTTTGTACTAGTGGCCATACTGTTTCGCCGCATTGCGCAAGATTCATGTATCCGCGCATCTTGTTCTTCCAGTCCTTGCAGTAGTCGTTCTCCATGGACGAGTTCATGAGACCGGAATCAGGTGTCATTTTGCAGGCGGCGTTCATGAACTCTTCCCATTTCTTTTTCCGTTTCATTCCCTCGACATCATTCGGGGACACGGTCTCTAGCGGACGGATCCGGCCATTCCTCTTATCCCAAAATGTTCTAATTTGGCGCAGAGATGACGAAAACGATCTCGGGATCGAACGCTCCTCTCTCGTGTTGTCGAACGTCGAGACGTACGGATATCCTCTCTTTCTGTCATCGTCAAAGTAGACAACACGTACGTGAGAGTACGACCTCAAGCCATACATTTTCTCGGCTGGTGACTTGTCTTTAATGAGTTTGTTCATTGCCTTAGCTGTGTGCTGGCCAGCAACAGCATACCAGCTGTATGTATGAGCCAGTTCGACGTCGAATTGCTCCGGTGTGATCCGTCTGCCTTGAGACCCGTCCGTGTTGGGCACAATAGGAGCCAGGATGAAAGTCATGAAATCCCACTTCCCATTGGCTTCCTTGGCGGCATGATGGATCGCATCATATATGGACTGCACCAACGTTTCGTCCAACGTTCTATGGTTGAAGAGGATGTCACCTTCAGGGATTGGCAAGATCTTTGTGACGTCCACTTCAATGTGTTTCCTTTTCTTCTTTGCAAACCCATCTTCATCGAACTCCAAGAAGAAGCACCGTGTTGTGTCGATGGCTTCATCACGGGTGTCGGCGGAAGGTTGTGTGTGTTCTGACATATCTCTTGGAGGAACCCCTTCGGCATCCTCTCCAGAGTCACCCTCATCCACCATCTGCTTTCTTTTCAGTGGACAATTCTCCGCTTTTGTCGCCCTTGTCGGCGCGGACCCTTTTCGTTTCTTCACGCTTTCAGCGACCGCCTCTTGAGAAGCTTTGAGCGCCTGTCGAGATGCAGCAACAGTGAGTTTCTTCGCAGCGCGCTTATCCGTCGCCGCCGTTGGACTTGTTGAAGATTGTCGCTTCCTTTTCTGGACACTGGCCTCCGACCGCTCTCCTGTTGCGTCGTCGACCCCCACATCAGCCGACCGCTCTTGCCGTCCATCGTCATCACCTACAKGATAGGCATGATCGTTTTCTCCATCGCCCCCGTCGTCCTCCTCATAGTATTGTTGAGACTCCCCACCCTCGCAGTCGTGCATAGTTTCCTCATGATCCTCTCTCTCTCTCTCCCTCTCGCTGTTCTCCTCTTCGACGTCGTCCTCATCGACACCAAATCCATCATCGTCGACGGTATGATTACCCTGTGGATGTCGATCAACACATACCCTAGAATCGTCCTCCGTTTCCTCATCCGATCCTTCACTTATCTCCCGCAGCGCCGCCTTCCTGGACGCACCACCTTCGTCCTTCTGGCAACTGGGAGAGGGATGAGTTGGCAGGGCCTTCCTTTTGTATGGGATGACAGGGGTGCCTTGGTCTTGCCGGCTGGACGGTTGAGACGGTCCAACACACTCCATCCGGCGGGACGAACCCACAGGAGGACCATGCTCATCCTCGCCTGGTGGATGACGCGGCTGGCTTTGTTTGTTGTGGCGCCGGCCCCCACTCGCTGACGTCTGCTGCGTTGGAAAACTATGTGGCGTCCTCTGTCTCTCTGTCATTGCTATACCGGGAAGATCCTCGTCCGGCGTGTCAAAAGGCACGAATGTCGGGGACATACGATGGTCGGCCTCAATCGTGGGACTGTTTTCGGATCTCCTGTAGCCGTTCGTTTTGGCGAGGAAATTAACGGGGCCAAGCATCGTCAACACACTCCCGTCTTCTTTCAGGGATACATTAAAGGCTTTCATGGTAATAGCCTTACCGCCATACCCCTTGAACAGGTTGTAATCAAGGCTTACTTTACGGTCGGCCTTCGCATGGTCCACTCCTTGTTCGTTGAACATCTTTGTGAGGAAAAACCTCCTGAACTTCCGTCCGTGCCCGTCCACCCTCTCATCCTCGGATTTAATAATCCCTCCAACACTGAACCAGTCGTCACCCGAGGCGTTCTTAAGAAACACAGCGGCGCCACATCCCGCCTCGTGTAGCCCCCCCACCCAATCAAGGGCGCCCTCCCTATCTCTATAGATTGTGCACGTGTTGTAGACTCTCTTTTCTGGGACAACAGATGCTCCTCCTGATGGCAGGCACATTCCAAACGAAGGAACGGATCGCATTCAGATTTCAAACCTTCCACCATCGCCTCACGTGAGTCGCCGACGCATTCGAGCGTCGCATGGTATAGGACATTCTGAAAACACCCTACCCCGTCCGGTTCCGCGAAGCAAGGCCGAGGGGGGCACGGCGTTTCGAAAACGCTACACCTCGTCCGGTCATCGGAGACGAGAGGTGGCGGTGATACAGCGATGTCGAAGCGCCGCACCCGTCAGCCCTATCCACCTACGGGGCCGGGCTACCTCGTTCTGGGAACGCCATGCAGCCCACCTCCCTATCCTCTCCGAGAACTGGGGGGGGCACGGCGTTTCGAGACAGCCGTACCCCCGCTCCCACCCCCACCGAGAACCGGAGGGGGGACGGCGTTTCCGAAACGCCGAAACCCTGGACCCTGTTCACATACAGGGTGGAGGGGGCACGGCGTTTCGAGAACGTCTTACCCCCGCTCCCACCCCCCACAGAGAAGCGGAGGGGCTACGGCGTTTTCGAAACGCCGCACCCCCTCGACCCTGCTCACATACAGGGGCGACGGGGTACGACGTTTTGAAAATGCCGTCCCCCCTTCGGTTGCCGGGTGGGGGCGGGAGTGGGGGTACGGCGTTTCGAGAACGCCGCACCCCCGCTCCCACCCCCACCGAGAACCGGAGGGGGTACGACGTTTTCGAAACACCGTACCCCCTCGATCCTGTTCACGTACAGGACCGAGGGGGTACGGCGTTTTCAAAACGCCACACCCCCATCGGTTGCCGGGAGGCGAAAGGAGCGGGGGTACGACGTTTCGAGAACGCCGTACCCCCGCTTCCAACCCCCGCCGAAAACCGGAGGGGGTACGGCGTTTTCAAAATGCCGTACCCCTCCCGACCCTGTTCACATACAGGGCCAAGGGGGTACGGCGTTTTGAAAACGCCGTACCCCCTTTGGAGGCCGGGAGGCGAAAGGAGCGGGGGTACGGCGTCTCGAGAACGCCGTACCCCCGCTCCCACCCACACCGCGAACCGGAGGGGGTACGACATTTTCAAAACGCCGTACCCCCTCGACCCTGTTCACATACAGGGCCGAGGGGGTACAGCGTTTTGAAAACGCCGTACCCCCTCCACCCTGTTCACATACAGGGCCGAGGGGGTACCGCGTTTCGAGAACGCCGTACACTCC